GTTCCACACCATTGTTTGCCTTCTTGTTTCGTGTGTGTAGAAAAGTTGTAATAGAACTCTATAAAAGTATCGAATTTCGCGTAGAAATTGACATGACTCTAGCACACGTCTCTATCTATGTGAAATGAGATATCTAAACCAACCACTTAGTGGAACATTGGCATGCTGGAAAAATTTTCGCCAAAATATAAGGATGACCATTTGACTCATTCTACAACAATTCTACCATAATTCCCATCACGTGGCTGACTGGCTTCTCATAACTTTCTCTTTCCTTTAATTTTTTTATTATTATATTTTCTTTCCGTATTTGATAAAATCAATTACTAATTACCCGCAACTAGCTTTAACACGTGCCGATCATTAAAGTTTCTAAACTCATTAAATAATTCAATTAAAATACAATTCAGTCAATAACTTTCAGCCTCGATATCTTGGACTTCACTAATCCAAATTAAACTTTTCTCAAACCTAATATGCACCATTAATTACGTTCTATCTAACGAGTCCAATATTCATATATTTACCATTGCTTCATCCACATCTAAATATTTGACACAATTAAAATTTGGAATTCAATATATATGTCACTGTAGCTCCTAACTTCAAAATATTAAAAATATAGCATATAAAATAATTAATTCTATTTTATATAAAAAAAAATTTGGGACTTTACAGCGCAAGTCTTTAAGCACAATGTCGCTGACAAAACTTCAAAATAATTCATTAAGCCTTTGTTAGGTAAATTCATAAATGGTTTATAAAACGATTTATAAAACGAAATACTTGCAAATTCTTAAAATATGTGAATAATGATGAATGATGAAAATTATTATTAAATTTGATTAAATTTATAAATAATTTATAAATATGTCGGTAAAATAACGTTAACATGGTGAATTTTTTTAAACTTTCTAGTTCGAGAACGACGATTAGGACAGTTTGAATTTGCAGAAAAATTCATACAGGAAAAATACAAATACTCACGTGTGGATGACCACATGTAAATTAAATATCGCCAAAAAAATGGGGCCCACATATTTGTGTGTATTTTGTCTGATTTCTGTATGTTTTTTCTGTAAACATTCCTTCCGTTTGAATCTGTAGCTAATAGTGAGGCATAGTGTACATGCTCCCATATCCTCGAAACCTCTGAAAACCAATCAACGAATTTTGCTTGAACTGAGATCCCATCCTACCTTCCACAAGTGCCCATATTAATTCCGATTTGTTCTGTCCAAATAACGGACTTTCTTCTTGAGCCCTTGTTTGGCCCTCATTATTTGACATTTTTGGGGATTGAAAATTTTTAAAATGGTGATTGATGGGAGATGTGGAATTGAAAAGTTTTAGATTTATGTGTATTATTATTTTATTTGATGAATGTATGGTTAAAATACAAAGAGAAAAAAAAATTAAGGTAATGTAATGTAATGAAATTTAATGGGAGCCAAACAGGGGCTGAATGTGGATACTGAAAGATGGACAGAAATATCTATGACACGGCGATAGCGACTTCTGATAACCTTAAAAGATGTTTACTTTGTCAATTTCAACCTATGCATTTGTCCTATCCATTGTATACATATTTTCAGCCTATATAAATAATAAATGCCTTAATTTTCAAGAAGTAAAACACTGACTATATACTATACAATCAGATCTATTTCTTTGTAGCAGTGGAACGATTCAAGCCCAATT